GCTTTCTACAATTAGTGTTGTTAAATTTGAACTTTAAACTATTTTGATCCGATAAGATACATGGGGTTATTCCTACTTTTTTTTTTTAATTTGTTGCTTTGTTAACAAGTTTTGGTCAGTTTTAGAGAAGGCTCCATGAGGTGCTGAGAAGAAGGTATATTCTTTTGTGTTTGGGTGAAATGTTCTCTAGATGTCTGTTAAGTTCATTTGAGTCATGAGATCTGTTAGTTCCCTTATTTTTCTGTTAGGCTTCTGTCTGGTTGACCTGTCCATTGAGTAGAGAGGGGTGTTGAAGTCTCCTACTAATAGTGTGTGGAGTTTGATGTGCGATTTAAACTTCAGTAATGTTTCTTTTACATATGTGGGTGATCTTGTATTTGAAGCATAGATATTCAGGGTTGAGACTTCATCTCGATGAATTGTTCCTGTTATGAGTATAAAGTGTCCTTCTCCACCTCTTCTGATTGATTTTAGTTTGAAATCAATTTTGTTAGATATTAGGATAGCTGCACTCACTTGTTTCTTAGGTCTATTTGATTGGAAAATCTCTTCCCAACCCTTAACTCTGAGGTAGTGTCCGTCTTTGAGGCTGAGGTGTGTTTCCGGTATACAGCAGAAGGTTGGATCCTACTTTTGTATCCATTCTTTTAGCCTGTATCTTTTTATAGGTTAATTGAGTTCATTGATACTAAGAGATATTAATGACCAGTGATTTTTAATGCTTGTTGTTTTTTGGTGATAGTGTTTGTGTGTTTCCCTTCTTTTGGGTTTGCTGGTATGAGGTTATCTGTTGTCTGTGTTTCTGTTTATTTGCATGTGGACTTTCAGAGTTCCTCTCAAGTCGTGTGGGATAAGAGGGTTTAGGGGTGGGATAGGAGTTGTAGCTTCCAGGGTCTGTTTGATGGGATGGGGGTGTTGGAGCAGCCTACCTGCAGGAAGCTTGTCTGCTGACTGGATAGAGAAGCTGAATGTGGTTTTATCTCTTAATGTGTCAGTTTGTATTCCAGGTTTTCTAGGTCTCAAGAAGTAAATTGGTCCAATTAGACATCCAATTTCCTGTGGCTTTTTCTGAGAACTTCTAGATGGTGAATTTTAAGCTAAGAGGATTATCTCAGCTTATCAGAGTAACTGTTCAGCAAACACAAACCTATATATGGAATGGTGACAGATGTATGAGTCAATATGGCTGGTGCTGCAATTCACTAACTTGCAGAGTGCTTGCCAGACCGCTGTGAATTGCAGCACTTAGTCTTCAGTTGATATTGCTGCCATCAATGTCTAGGTTATGTCCTCAGCGTTCGGACCTATGGTTGGTAGAAGCTGGGGAGGAGACACACAGGGAATGCTTGTGAAAACCTGCAGGGCTTTGGGAATAGTGTCTAAAATGTCCCACTGAAGTTGTCACAGAGGGCCCTAAAAGGCATTGTTAGAAAGTTGAGGAAATGGGCGTGCTTCTTATATGACAGCAGAATAGGAAATGTAACAAAGGGATGATTTGGTTAGGGAAGTGTCTGTGTAAGGGGCTGATGTTGCTACATAGGATATTTTAGTTGCCAAGAGTAAAAATGGAGATGAGATGAACCGAGTGTAATGTGGTGGGCAGAAAACAAGGCAGGTAGAATTCTGAGCAGATGCCATGATCTCAACCAACCCCAGCACTGCACCAAACAGCAGAATAATGCACGACAGCGAAGAAGGAATTTTACAGGTGTAACTAAAGCCCCTAATTGGTAACTTTGAATTAATCAAAAACAAAAACAAACAAACAAAAAAAATCCTCAAAGATTATCCTAGATGGGCATGGCCTTCACAGGTGAGTCCTTTTACATTTTATGGGGAAGTGAACAGGAAAGACTGCTTAACTGAGAAAGAGCTTGTTTTACAAGCTTGAGGACACAACACACAAGTAAAAGTCCAGACAGTATAGTATATGTTGTATTCCAGTACTGGGGTAGTGGGGAGGCGGCGTCAGACAAATCTGTGGCTCTCTGCCAGTCAGCCTAGTTGGTCAGCTAACTCCAGTCCTAGTGAGAGACCCTGCCTCTAAAAAGAGATGTTACACCCCACATTGACCTCTGACTTCTATGCACACACGCACACACACACAACACACACAGAGACACACATTCCTGCACACAGGCACACACCTGGGGTGGGAGGAGGGAGTAGTCCCATTTTATGAAGAGGCAGAAAGTCGCTGCATAGCAAGAATGTGAAAGTAATACATACTTTCCGCAATCAACATACAGGACTGGGGAGCAAATCTTTCTTCAGCTGAGGCTGCAGATGGGGCGGCAACTTGCTAACGTGCTTCTGGGAAAACCACTCAAGCCACAGCTGATTCCTTATTTACAGAAACTGTCAGAAAATAAATGTATGCTTTTTAAATTGTTTGTGTGTGTGTGTGTATTGATTTTTGTTGAGTTCTACATTTTTCTCTGCTCTCCTCCCTTCCTCTTCCCTCCCCTTCTACCCTCTCCCATGGTCCCTTTGCTCACAATTTACTCAGGAAATCTTGTCTTTTCTACTTCCCATGTAGATTAGATTCATGTATGTCTCTCTTGGAGTCCTCATTGTTGTCTAGGTTCTCTGGGATTGTGAATTGTAGACTGGTTTTCTTTGGTTTATATCTAAAAGCCACTTATGAGTGAGTACATGTGATATTTGTCTTAATGGGTCTGGGTTACCTCACTCAATATAATGTTTTCTAGATACATCCATTTGCCTGCAAATTTCAAAAAAAGAAAAGAAAAGAAAGAAGACAAATAATGACATCTTGAAAGCATATCTATTTTCTACCTCTTAAGCTTAGTTAAATATTCTCTAGAAGAGATACAGTATCTGGGGATAGTGAGATTCTCAATAGTCACGGTATCTACTACCAGGCCTGATCTCCGCTTGAGGCCTCTGGTGGAACGGGAGAACTCGGTAGCTATCCTCCGATCTCTATGTGCACACTGTGGCCTGTGTGTACACATGTACACAAAATAAATAAATAAAATGTAAATGGGTTTCACATGATTATATTTCATTGATACAGATATGAATCTCTCAAGAATAAAGAAAACTTAAAGAAAAAAGAAGGCTTAGAGGAATAGCCAAACACTTAGGAGCACTTGCTGCTCCTGCAGAGGGTCTGTCTTCAGAGCCCCAGCACCCATGTGGCATCTCACAAGCCCCCGTAACTCCATCTCCGAGGAGCCTGATGCCCTCTTCTGCTGTCCACGGGCACCAGCCACACACAGGATGTACACACATTCATGAAACACGCACACATACGCATAAAATAAATGAATCATTTTGAAAATGAAAAACATTTGTTTCTAAAGAAAAGAAAAAGCTTCTCAGCAAATATTTAACCCAGGATGCAGGGTGATTTAATGTGGGCACTCACCAACCTTCTCAAACAGCTGCAGGTCCTGTAAATCCTCCCAGGTGCCCTGTAGGCACTGCGGCCTCTTGGCATTAGGATGCTGTCACGCACATCTACATAAGGACTCGAAGCTGGTAAGGAATCTAACCTGATAATATGAGGGTATTAAAAATCTCTTGTCAAAGGACTAAACTTTAATACAACTCATTTAAAACTTACAAAAACTTTAAGAACAACCAAGAACAATTGATGGTTCTCAAGGAGGTAGTATTGGATTTCTGTTGAGCCATTTGGTGACATGTACCAGATTTTTCCCCAAAACTGCTCTGGACCAGTGGATGTTGTCCACTTTCAACCTTTCTGATATCTTCCTGACATCTAATTCTTCCTCTCCTCTCTCAGGCCTGGTGCCAAAAAGAAAAAAGAAAAAGAAAAAAAAAAGTCAAATAGCTTGTGTCCTGCTTCAAAGCTCTGGTGAGTCCACGCCGCTGTGCAGGGTAAACATTTGCAGTCCTGATCAATTTTCTGACTTAGTTCCTCCCGACATCTTTACAGAGTTCTCCAAACATGAGGGAATAAGGAGGGAAAGGCAAGGTTGGGGGAGGGGAGCTGACCAATCGCCTCCTCGTTATACACTTGCCTCCATCCTCAGGCTGAAGTACATATATGTAAGATGAGCAGCGTGTGAGCCTGTACGTGTGGCTGTCATTTTGACTCGTTTGAGCATCGGCATATGCCTCACACACATTTTATGGTGGAATTAGATGTCACCCAAACCTTTAACCACTTAAGCAATCATCTGCCTCAATGTCTTTTTTAAAACGCTATTTCAAGCAGACATTCAAGTAATTTTCTTCCTTAGCTGTTCTTCTCTGAGCTTGTACAGAATTCTTTTCCTTGGAAGAACATTGTTCTTTTGTAAGCAGACCACTTCCCGGTTTGAAAGAAACATATAGAGAACTCTGTTAGCAAGTACAGAGTTATGAAGAAAGGGAAGTACACTCCGGACACAGCACATAAACCGCTCACAAGCTGTGCCCTCAGCGTGGCATCTCTTCAGCGCTTCAGCCACTTAGCAGCCCCCAGATAGCCAGTGCACAGGCAATAGACTTTTGCACGTTCTTACCAGCATGGGCTCAGCCTCTGTGCCGATGGAGACAGAAAGGAAAGAAAAGTATTCCATTATACAGAAGCATTTCTCTCAGAGACAGCTCATAAAAGGAAAAGTTCATGGGGGCTGCACAATTTCTCTCTCCCACTCCACCATAAAATACGCACGTTCTTAAAATGAAAGTGCCAAGGAGAGTTGTCTAAAGTGTGTGTGTGTGTGTGTGTGTGTGTGTGTGTCTTCTTTCTCTGGGGGAAAGCCTTCTCATCTTTGGGTTTTCACCACTCATAAATTATCGAGTTATTTCTCACTTATGGCATAAATATCAGTCTGCTTGGTGTATGTACCCACACATCAGCTGAGACTGAGGAGAGCTAAATTTACAAACATTAAATCAATCAGCAAGTGTGAATGGGTGAATAGCGTGGCACCCCGTAACTGAACAAGGCCACAGCATTCCTGCTAATCATCAGTTTTGCAACTTCCAAAGTTTTTTTTTTCTTCTAGTTTTATAGTGTTGCTAGAAGCCAGATGAATAACTTCCTTCTATCAGAAGAAGGGAACAACTACCTCAAAACAGGAAATGAGACACTATCCCAAGAGATAAAGCTACCATAATTCTGAGTGCCACAACCGTTGGAAGATATCAGGTTTGTAAAGAGGAAATGATACTTGCGGTTCATTTAACTTGTTGTTATTAGTGAGAAGTCCTGGAACAGACAGGGCTGGCAGGTGTCTTGTGTGAAAATATCAGTTCTGCAGATGGAGAGAGGGGAAATACACAGAAACAAACAGATAAAAATACATTTATTCTCTACTTCCTCTCCCAGGGCTCCCCTAAAACAGGCATCTCAGGACTAAGCACTGAGGAGATTGATAATCCCCTTTCATTAGGAAGTATCTTCCTGCAGACACTTACCCCTAGCATTAACCAGGCAGGAAGCATGGGCGGGGCAATGAGAACAGGAGAATTCTGGGAAGAGGAAAGACTCAGTCTGCAGTTGTGACCCAGATACAGAGGAAGAAAGATGAGAAAGCCTCACTGATAAAAGGTACCAAGACATATGGCTAACACAGACAAGAATTATGGGTTAATGTAGGATGTAAGAGTTATAAATAAGAAGCCTGAGCTAACAGGCCAACCAATTTCTAATTAATGTAGACCTCTGTGTGTTTCTTTGGGACTGAACGGGTGCAGGACTGGGTGGTACAGAAACCTCTGTTCAACATACCATGAGAAATCATTTTACTTTAACTAAAAGCAAGTATCATGGCAGATAGACTGATAGCCTCAGTTGAGCTATCAATGGCCAGAACTTTTCCTAAGGACTGTGTATTGTGTGAACCGCTAGCAGATGAGAGATGATTACAGTGACCTTGTCGAGGCTGTGTCCTGGATGTTCCTGTGCAAATGCAAACAAGGCCACGCATGAAGGAATCCAAGCAGCTGGGAAACACTAGCGAGGTCTCTGTAAATGGCACTGGCTTGGGTAGAATGTGGCAGTGAGAGGGGAGAAATGAGCCATGACATTAACGGGGAGATAGAGCAAACGGCCTGAAGAGGAGTGAGGACCTGGACGGGACTGGTTCATTTCCCCACATACTGACCAACTCTCTACCCCTTTTCTGAAGTACACACCACTCTGTCTTTCTACCACCGCTACTCTGTGTGGAGATACTGCTTTTCCACATGGGGTGAGAATAGGCAAGAACATACACAAATCACACAAGGAAATTTGTATCATAAAACTAGGAAAAAATAGCACAGTCCATTTTTACAAAAGAATAAATAATGCAGTATATAAAGAAAACCAGAGACTTGAAGTAGGAAGTCCAAAAGGAGGAGAATATGTGATCCTAAATAAAAATGAATTGATCTAGAAAAGACAAGGGCATAAAAAGAAAACATGAATACCAAAATAGATTATACAAGCATATGAAAATGTCAAAAATAATAAAAGCCAAACTCAGATTACATTTTCAATGTAATCAGGAATTATTTAAAGGCTATGCCTGTCTTTAAAGTCATGATTTGTCTCTGGGAGACTGCATTAGAGCTTTCACAACGGCTGGGTCTCTGGGAAGTGGATCAGCGAGAACTTGGTTTCTACTCCACATTCTGTATACCATATTTGTTCTGGAGTATGCACCACACCTAGGTTAGTATTGAGCTGCCTGTAAATTAAGAACTACTCTTGTGTTCAATAAGGAACAATAAGAGAACAGAGAGATATTATGAAGTAAAAATGTTATTCAATTACTAGGAGTTTGAAATTGATTTTTTTTAAAGACCTATGGGCCTGGAGAGATGGCTCAGTGTTTAAGAGCACTTGCTGTTCTTGCAAAGGACTGGAATTTGTTTCCCAGCATCCAAATGTTGGCTCACACCTGCCTAAAACTCCAGTTCCAGGGGATCTAATGCCTTCTAGCCTACAGTAGTCACCAAACATTCTCTCTCTCTCTCTCTCTCTCTCTCTCTCTCTCTCTCTCTCTGCACATAAATACATGCAGGCAAATAATAATACACATAAAATAAAAATAAACAAACTTTTTACAAAGCAGGAAAGGAAGTGGAACCAGACGGCAGCTGGGTAAGATCCGATCCAAGTAGAACAACTATTCATGCACCAAAAACCTGCTAAAGAAATTAACAAGAGACCACAGTGCCTGCTTCAAATGAAGCCAAATAGAAACTCATGCTGTAGAAGATGGGAAAAAAGAAGTTGCCTGTGCCAATCCTCCTCTAATCTCAAGCAGCAGCCTCCTGCTTCAGACAGGCAGAAATAGGAAGTCTAGGCTTTGAACCTGAGCCTCAGCACTGTGCTTACTACAGTGAACGCCAGTGTGCCCCATGCTAGCGGATACCCGAAGACTGAGCTACTGATTTCATCTACCCACTGACTGACTGCTTTCTCATTCCTCTGTGTCTCTCGCTCTTTTGCCTGTGCTTGGGACCCTCTTCCTCCTATTGAGTTGCCTCGTCCGGTCTTGATATCAGGGTTTGTGCCTATTCTTATTGTTACTTGTTGGGCCATGTTCAGTTAATATCCCTGAGAAGCCCACTACTTTTTCTTTCTTTTTTTCTTTTTATTTCTGATGAGAAATGGAGGAAGAATGGATCTGGGGAGAAGAATGGTAAAAGGAGGCATCGGAGTGGTAGAGGGAGAGGAAACTATGGTCAGAATGTGATGTGTGAGAAAAGAATTAAAGAGAAAAGAAAGAAAGAAAGAAAGAAAGAAAGATGCAAGATAAACCAAAACAAAAAAACAAAAAAATCTCTCCCCTTCCTAGAAAGGTTACAGATATCCGGGTACAGGAAAATCGAAGACAGTAGTCACACTTAATTCAAGGTCGTCTATCCTAAGACAGTTTATAATCAAACTTTTAAGGCAAAGATAAAGGATCTGTAGGGCTTCCACAAAACAATAATACAAGGATGTTCCATTAACCTGAAAGTACGTCTGTTAGCAGAAACTTTGCAAGCCAGGAGAAAGGGAGTGAGATTTTTCACAGCTAGGACGAAAAAAAAAATCTGACATCTGAGAATATCTTAGCCAACAAGGTTATAATTTTAGAAATGAAGGCATTCCCAAACAAAAGACAAGAGCGTATCTCCACCAGATCTGTTTCTTCTACAAAATTCAAAAACATATCAAATATCAAGGAAGTTTTAAAATGGATACAATTACACTGACAAATGAGATTATACTCTAAAGTAAAGAAAAAAATTACACAGAAAAGGAAACAGACAATAGAGAGAAAAGCACAATCTACTGGAGGAAAACACACTCCGTCATATTTGAGCAAGAGTTAGAATCCAGAATATGTGAGAAATACCTCAAGCACACAAGAAGCAAAACGAAAAAGATTAACTGATGGCAATATCTGTAAGTAGGAATTTTTCAAAAGATGATCTGCAAATTGACAGCAGGTACATGGGGAAAATTCTCAGAATCTTTTATCACCAGGGAACTGCGAATCAAAGCCATAAGAAGATGTCACCTTACCCCAGTGAAATGGCTACTGTCAAGGCGATCAAGCCAGGCACGGTACACTTGGGAGGCAGAGGAAGGAGGATTTCTACAAGTTTTAGGTTAGTCCAGGCTGAAGAGTAAAGACCCTGCCTCTAAAAATAAAGAAGTGGGGGGAGGAGGGGAGGGAAGGGGAGGAGAAGGGAGGGAGAAGGAAGAAATTAAAAAGAAACAAAGCCCATAAACAAGCAAACAAGTTAACAAATGGTCATTGAAGATGAAGAGAAAATGGAGCCTTTGTATATTAATGATTGCAATATAAGTTAATTAATATTTACTTAGTGGTTAAAAATCTACTTAAGTTCCTCAAAAGATTAAATTTAGAGCTGCCGTATGACCAAGGAATGCTACTGACTAACATTTCACAAAGAAACAAGATCAGTTATATCCAAGGGACATTTCTCCTCCTGTGAACATTGAAAATGATAGAGAAATGGCTAGGAAATCTAATCCACCCACCATCAACTGATGAACAGATAAAGAAAATGTAGCACATAGAGATGATGGGAGATTATTTATTCATAAAGCCAATGAAATCCTATTTGTAACAAGATCTAAACCAGAGTGTTGCGGGAGGTCCTTCCGCTCCTCCAGCCAATAGCCGCTGAGATACCAGCCCACTGGGGCATGGTCTCTCTCTTTAAAAAAGTGGCCACTTCCCTCCTCGCTCTCTCTTTCCTTCCTGCTCCGTTTCAGGCGACTAGACTCCTTCCTAATTGCGCAGAGGGCTGTTGTTGTCTGGGACGGTGATCTGTAAGTTTTTTTCCCCTTTAAATAAATACCACCCTATTAATCATAATTCCAAACTGGTGTGGGATTGTTTGTGACTTATGCCTTCACCAGAGAACCATGATGTTAAACAAAGTCCCGACACAGACAAATGCTACATGATCTTATTCCTATGTGGGATTTACTCTTTTTTAAGCAAGATTTATCATGCACTTCCTCTGCCAGCGTGTAGACTAGATTGACCTCACACACACAATCTAACTCTGCCTCCCGTTTACTGGGATTAAAGCTACATGCCCGACCTTCTGTAAAATTTTAGGCAGCTTCTACCATAGAAGTTGAAGATAGTGTGGTGATAGCCAGAGGCTGGGGAGGGTGGTGGGGATGCATGGGACAGGAAGGCCAACGGGTACTAAGTAACACTTAGATGGAGCAGAAAATTCTGATGCGCTATTGCCCTGCAAAGCAGCTGCAATAATAAACAGATAATGCAGATAATAATATATGGTATTAAAAAATGTGAAGAAGGAATTTTGAAAGTTTCCACTATAATATAATAATATGAATTATTTATCTTCGAGGAGTAAATATGTTTAACCTGACTTAAACATTATGCAGCACATGCATGGGTTGAAATGTAACAAAATGTCTTAGAAACATGAAGAAATTAGTGTTTTATGGATTGACTAATAAATTGAGAAAGCAGAGAAAAACAAGGGACATCACTAAAGATAATAGAAGGAAATTTTCCAGAGCTAAAGAGAGACAGATCTTTACACGGAAATTGCCTTTGGGGATGGAAATATAGCCCAAGGTAGAGATCTTGCGTAGATTTGTGAGGCCCTGGGATTTATGTCAGCACCACCGAAAAGAAAACTAAATTTTTAAAAATCCCCCTTTTCTGCTGTTCTAAATTATGGAGTCATGTGACTATAATTATAAAGCTATTACTACATATTATATCCTTACATGTTATGTAAGGGTGTAAATTTTATGGCACTAAAAGTACAGAGAGAAAGAGTAGAAAGGGAGACGCTGAACCAATAAAAACACGAATTAGAATGTCTTCAGTGAAGGTTGCTCTTAAGAAATTCTAATTTGAATGGAGAAAAGGCCGATAAATAGATAAAAATCAGAAACTTTCAAACTCCATAGGTGGAGAAAAGATCACAAATACTTTCACTTAAGAAAAAGACACTAACAACTTTTGAAAAAATGAGACTTAGATTGGCAACAAAAACAAAAAAAATGCCTTCAGATATGTAAGAAAATATGAAATACCATGTGTACTGGAGGGATGCAGGAAGTATGTAAGGAAATACGAAATACCGTGTTTACTGGGGGCATGCAGGAAGCATGAAATACGGTACGGTCTGGAGGCGTGCAGGAAACTTGCCTACAAGGACAGCAGTGAAGAGGGCAGGAAAAAGGCAGCCTGGAGGGAGCCCTGCTGCTTCATGCTCCCTGAATCCTTCTCCCTCCTGAGGGCTACAGCAATTTTTGTCTTTGCCTTGATCCTGTGAACCATTGTCCTCTTACAAACCAATCTCCCCTGCACTTTCTTTCTTTCTCCTCCTCTTACACTTCTGCCTTCTTCCTCTCCTCATTCTCTTCCCCCTTCCTCTACTCCTCATTCTTCCTCCATCTGCTTACAGTAAGCTATCGCAGAGAAGAAAACTTCACAGCCTGAACCGTCGGACAGATTTCCATAGTTGGGATGATGGACTTCTGGACTGGGCTGGCTCACACGCTGCTAGCTCCTGCGCGGTGACCAGCCTGCCTAGGCACTGACATCACCGGTTGCCAGGTGATGTGCACCTCTTCAAAGTGCCTCTCAGTTGGTCCCTCCTCTGGCTCTTCTTGCTTTCCTGTCTGTCTGCCTCCCTGCCTCTCTCCTCTCCCCACCCAGATAGCCTTTCCCCCATTATCCTCTCCCCCTCCCCCAATAAGACCATTGCACTAACTCTGTTGCAGAGTCCTGTTCTCTTAGGTGCTTACCTTGGCAGGGTCTGCCCAAGGTATCTGCTTCGCCATTTTCTATCCTTTTACACATGTTCTCAAGTCAGGTTCTAAACTGAGAGACAAGGAAGCCAGGTAAACAAAGAATCAGTTTTCTTTCCCGTTGATGGTGAATCGCGGGGCGTGGTTTAGGTGTCTAATAAGGTTTCTAGTCTGAATCCCAGAATTTTACCATCTCATCACAGGTACGTTGGGGCCTCCACCTGAAAAGGCAGAGCTGTGCCTAAGCTTACCCTTGATAGAAAGGAAACCAACGGCATGTCGTCTGCAGTCAAACAAATCCCAGCGTGGAAAAGAAGAAGATAAGGTACAGAGTCACCAAGCCTGTCCTTAAAATTGCTCCTTAGGTAATAGCCCTTCTTTTGTTATGGATGAGAAGGGGATGCAGGGATTGCAAGGGTGCTGTGGAGACAGATAGCCCTCTGCGAGGACTAAGACCGGTGTGGGGGGAATGTTACTGTCGGGACTTTAAAGCCAGGTGGACTTGCTACTAGTGTTTTCTTTTTCAAGAACTTTAATGCAACATTAAGTCTGCCGCTGTGGAAAAAATATCAGGAACCTCATTTAAAATAGAGAGCTTTCCGTCTAGAGTGGGTCTAGGAAGTCGACACATATTTTTGGGCAAACCTTCTTTGCGTCTCTTTTGTGAGTTACAGGCAGTAATCTTATCTCCACCATGGGCTTTACAGCCTGGACAATCATACACTCAGTTCCAGGTCACTGAATGCAGTTCTTGGCTAGGAACTTTTGGCAAAGGAAGGCTTCCTTGGGTTTCGCCTGTTGTGGCTAAGATAATGCGACAGATGCCTTCTATAGTAACAATGAGTTTCCTCTAGAAGTCATGAGCAGAGAGCTCATGATGGAAGCTTGTTAAAGCCTGAGTTCCTCTGTCCTCTTCTGGCAGTCAGCACACACTGCGATTCAATCCAGGAGGTTAGGGTGATACATACACTCCCCCTAACAGGAGATGGCTCAAACAACATGAACCACATACCATACAAGGATAGTGCAGTCAACAATGGACAAAAACATAAGATGTGGTCTCATAAGGCTGTGGTGTCTAGTGACGTAACACTGGTCTTTATTTGTGTAGAAGTAATCCATGGTGCTTGTGCAATGATGGAATATATTTTTTTGGAATGTATTCCCGTTGTTTGTGAAAACATTACTGCTTTTGACATTGAAGCTTCTACAGGAGAGGTGGCTTTGCCAGACTAGGGGCTATTGAGAGACACATAAGAGATACTATAATGATATATATATATATATATATATATATATAGAGAGAGAGAGAGAGAGAGAGAGAATTACATACTAGAATTAGACATTGTTCTTCCAGCCTAGTTATAAGACCAAGATAGTGATAATATGACATAAATGTTTATTTTGCAGATCATTCCATGTAGTAATATTTCATTTGTATTTCATTTGTATTTTAATAAGTAAAGCTTGCCTGAAGATCAGAGACTAAAACAGCCGTCGATCAGCCTTACAGACCAGGCAGTGGTGACATACACCTTTAATCCCATTAACCATGCTACTAGTTATCCATAGAAACCAGGCGGTGGTGGTGCACGCCTTTAACCCCAGCACTAGAGAAAAATAAAAGACAGGAGGTGACAGCTCTCACTCAGTCTCATTCTGAGATATCAGGAAGCAGGATCACCATTTCAGGCTGAGGTAAAGGTAAGAGGTAGGGCTGGCTATTTTGCTTTTCTGACCTTGAGGTTGAACCCCAATTTCTGTCTCTGGGTTTTTTTTTTAATCATACTGCAATTCCACCTAATCGGAGTATAGGCTCCTCTCTACACAAAGCACCGAAGAGCATCATTCTTAAGAGCAATGCTATAGAGTTAATACAGATCTCTCCGCCTCCCCCCTTTAATAAGACAAAAAACTTTCCTGGCATACCCTAGTTAGTAGTGAAAATGAGATTTGTCTTTAGTGGTGAGAAATCTCAATGCCATCTGATAATTGTGGTCTGCATTGTTTGAAGTAATTAATTGTGATAGACAACCCCTAAATCTCTGGGGTTTAACACAATAAGAGTTTATTTCTCATTCTCATCACAGCCCAATATTGGCCAGGCAGAACTCTATCTGCTGTGACATCTGGAACACACACTCTCCAAGGTTGCCTCTACTGGGGGGTTTCAGAATGAAGGAAAGAGCCTACCAGCTCCGACTTGCCTCAGCCTGGAAGAGAGACAAAGACCTTATGTAAACTTAGCAATCTGGCCCTAACCTAACCGAGAGAGTAAACGGGAAGTGGACAATGAAGATATAAGATCATTTTAGGGGGGGAAGGGAAATACCCAAATAAGCACAGCTTTCATTGTCGTTGTTAAAGGGGCCACCGTGGAGAGATCATGTGAGTATTTTGTATGCTGCTGTCACCGCACCTAAGGATGAATCTTAGGCCATGCTCCAAATGATTAACACTTCATTTTAGCAACACAGTCCTATTGCATCCAGATTCTGCCCTTTAAACTCTTATTATCTATAAGCCAAGGAGACAACCACTGGGTCTAAACTAATATTCAGAGATTCTGGAGCACTTTTTCTCCTCTTTGCTAAAGCTGTTAGGGAAAGCTCATTTTGAATATAGGAGACTTAGGCACAATAAGTCATTTCATTTCAGAAACTCACCACCTAGGGTTATGGTTTGGATTCCACTTCTATCAACAGGCATTGGAAAACCACTGATAACACCTCTTATGAGATCATTCCACACCACTGTTTAAGAAATCTTTGATGATCTCCAAGTTGAGGCAGATGGTGCCGTTCAGCAACAGCACAACCAGCCTGCACCAGTTTGTTGATCTCTTCCATGAATCACAAATCCCCAGACATTGATGAAGCCTGGGCAAACCTTCCCAAGCCCACCAGATGTGCCGTGAAGTAGCCAGAGAAGCAAGTTACCCTGTGGTGAGAACTCTGTATTTGATGAGCGATGGAATCACAGTGCACACTCCTCATTGTCCTTTGAAACAGAAGTGGGGTTCCCAGAACAAGACTGCCAAGAAGTTTGTTAGCGCTCAAATTTTGTGCTCGAGGTTACCATTGCTCTACCCAGAACACCTGAAGATGGACTCATCTTGTTAGGTTGCATTTCCTTTCCAGAAAAGACTCGCCTCCATGCTACCATTAAAGAATTTGTTTTTTTTTGGGGGGGGGGGGCTAGCAGTTTCTTTATTGCTTAACCAATGAAATCAACAGATTGATATATGACACTCCCCCATCACTTCCCCAAAACAGCAACACGCGTAGACCGCTGTTTTAGGAATAGTGTTACCGCTTTCACATTCGTTTTCAGGAAAGTCAATGGCGCCAAGACCACTTAGTGCACAGGAGCGTGTGCACATGCGTGTGTGTGCACATGGTTCCATTTATGTAAATGTGTAACTAGTCCAGCTTTTACTCAGCTTTACACATTATATATAACTGAAGAATTTTAAATCATTATGTTTTGTGTGTATATATGTATGTGATGTTCTTAAGAGTGTTTATGCATACTTGCATATGTATGGATGTATATGTTTGCAGGTATGAGTGTGTGTCTGTGTATGTATGGGCGCAATGGGCACATGTATGCATGCATGTGTACGCCTGTGTGTGTGTGTGTGTGTGTGTGTGTGTGTGTGTGTGTAAACCAAGCACAGCCATCAGATGTCTTCCTCAACTGCTCTGCACATATTTACTGAGGCAGGTCTCCTAGTAAAACAAAGGCATGCCAGCTCAGCTGGTCTAGCTAGCCAGTTTAGGGGGCATCTCCTCTCTCTGTCTCCTAAGCACTGGGGTTTAAGGTGGGCAAACACACCTGCCAGGCATTCTTGTGGGTTCTGGGATTTAACTCAGTTCCTCATGCTTGCGTGCACAGCAAGTTCTTTATCCATTGAACAATCTCCCCAGGCCCAATTTTAAAATTAATTTTAACAAAGAAAAGACAGCAGTTTTGTGTTGCCAGCTGAAGGATTTAGAATACCACTAAGTTTCTATAGATCATCTGCATTTTAAAGAACTTTCAAAAGTTCGCTTCACCCTCCTCCCTGCATGTGAGGCTCTGTTTCCGAGCTTTCATTTTTTAAAAAATTTGTTTATTTATGTATTTTTTTAAAAAGCTATATTTTCTCATTATACATGCCTCTCCCTCCCTTCTTCCTCTTCCCTCCACACCTCACTTCCCCTATCCTACACCCCATCCACTCCTCAGAGACTTGGGAAGTCAACAAAGTCTGGTGCCTCACTCTGAGGCAGGACCAAGTCCCTCCCCACTATATCTAAGCTGAGCATGATATCCCTTTAAAAAGAATGGGTTCCAAAAAAAACAGTACAAGCAGTCGGGATAAATCCTGGTCTCACCACCAGTGGTCCCATAGTCCTCCCTAGCCATACAACTGCATCCACATACAGAGAAACTAATTTGGTCCTTTGCTGGTTCTCTCACAGTCAGGCTGGAGTTAGTGAGCTCCCATTAGCTCAGGTAGACTGTTTCAGTGGGTGTCCCCATCATGGTCTTGGCTTCTTTGCTCATATTCTTACTTCTCCCACTCTTCAACTGGACTTTGCCCAGTTTTCCACTGCAGATCTCTGCATTTGCTTCGATAAGTTGCTGGATGAAGTTTCTATGATGATATTTAAGATTGTCATCAAACTGACTACAGGGCTACCACAAGATCCAGCAACACCGCTCTTGGGCATATACCCAAAGGATGCTCAATCATACTACAAGGACTTTTATTCAACTATGTTCATTGCAGCATCATTTGTAATAGCCAGAACTTGGAAACAACCTAGATGGCCCTTCAATCAAAGAATTGATAAAGAAAATGTGGTACATCTACACAATGGAGTACTACTATAGGTAATAAAAAACAATGACATCTTGAAATTTGCATGCAAATGCCTGTTACTACAAAAAACTATCCCGAGCGAGGTAACCCAGGCCCAGAAACATGAGCATGGTGTGTACTCACTCCTAAGTGGATATTAACAAAGGATAACAAGCCTATAGTCCATGACCCCAGAGAAGCTAAGTAACAAGGAGAATCCTAAGAGAAACATATATAGATCCAACTGGAAAGGGAAAGTAGACAAGATCTCATGAGAACATGAGGGTGGGGGCAGAAGGGGATGAGGTGGGGAGGAGAACTTGAGGGAACAGGATGGTAGAGATGGGGGAAGGACAGAGACGGAGAGCAAGGACAGAGATATTTTGATTGAGGGGCTAGTAAGAAACCTGGCACTAGAAAAATTCCCAGAAATCCATAAGGATGTTCCCAGCTAAGACCCTAAGTAATATTGGGGAGCTTTCATTTTTTCAACTATGAAAGAAGGAAAATGAGATTGTGTTCCTCACCCATGCTGCTGTATTGAATAATTAGGTTGCCTTCAGAAAGAATTTAATGTCATTTTGCAATATTTGCTTTTCATCAAATGAGAATGTTGGGACGGGTGCTGTCCATGGTTCTGAGACTTGGGACTTGACACACAATGTAAGGGGTCTGCAGGAGCCAGCAAAGGAGGAGGTCTTCTCTTAGGTCAGGCGCTATTTGAAGACTTATCATTGAGACTATGCTGAAGTGGCACCACTCACAGCTTATTTCACAGTAGTGTTATGGTGGGATTAAGTGTTCACTACGACCAAAGCTCTTCACTGAAAGAAGGCATTTCGTCAGGGATTTGCTTACAGATTCAGAGGAATCATCTGGGCTTCTGGTGTCAGATTGGAACTGCTAGTGCACCCCACCTAGTGGACTAAGCTATTACCAGTTGTTGGGTTCTCTCCAGTAAGAGAAAGCCATCATGGATTTCACCAAATGCTGAAGCGCCCAGCCTCAAGGAAAAAGTAACTACTAGGTTCTCAGCTCTCAGGGGTGACTCTGATATTGCTACTATTTTAAAACTTACTTAATATTAATCTGTGGATGCATAGCTTCATCCCACCGGTTCTGTTTCTCTAGGGAGCCCTGACTAATACAATGTCATATAGTAAATTACAGCCTACAAAAAGCCCCGCAAGATCGGATGCATACCACACAGCGAATGCAGGGACAGCATCTGGTCAGTTCCAGACCTTTCCATGACAAGCACAGGTTTTCACCCATTGGATATCATCCGTACCGACTGCCGGATGGGGTGATTTTTGCTTGCACTAGTAAACAGAACACTTGGGGTGAGGATAGACATAGTGCCACTTAGAAGAAAGGAAGATAATTTAGTTCAGGCCTAATATTCTATAATAATGTCTTAATGTCATGGCTATCTGATAAACATCCCACGGAAATATCCAAAGCCAAGGATTCCTCACGTGGTTCAGTCTTCTACACAGAGTCCATTTCCAGAGATTTGATGTAGCCGCTAAGTGGGAATTAAGTGGAACTAAGACCCACATTGTGGAGGTCTTAACATTCTCTCTAAGTAACGACATGAAAGATGGAAACAGAAAAGTGGGTAGGAAAGGAGGAATCCTCTGCTCAAACATTTTATTCTAGTTACATTGTATGCGTGTTGTGTGGGTGTGGTGCATGCGAGTGTATATAGGTATATGTATACGTGTAGAGGTTAGAAGGATCCCTTATCACTCTTCACCTACTACATTGAAGCAGTGTTTCTCACCGAACAAGAAACTCACAGTTTAGGCCAGGCTAGCCTGTCAGCAATGTCCTGGAACCTGTCTGTCTCTGCCCTGCCAATAATGTGATTACAGGCACAGATGGGTAGTCATACCTCATCTTTGTTTGGTTTTTGTTTTCCAGGATCTCATTGTGTAGCCCTGGCCAGCTTGGAATTTATTTTTTAAACCAGGCTGCCCTTGAACTCACAGAGACCTGTTTGCTTCTACCTTCTACATATTGAGATTAAAAAAGTGTGCCATCACCCTAACCTATGCCAGGCTTCTTGGGTACTTGGGATCCTAACTCAGATCCTCATGCTGGCACAAGCGACATTCCTACCTACTGAACCAGCTTTCCAACTCCCCACACTTGCAATTTTGCACATTTTTTATTGTCCAACTATTCAGACATTACAAAGACTCAAATGTGCATCTAAAGTAAAAGGTATCTAGTTTGTGTATGTGGTGTGTGTGTGTGTGTGTGTGTGTGTA